GTGGGTTCGATCCCGACCCTGACGTCGGTATGTTTGGAGTTTGCGTGTTCTCTCTCTCTCTCTGCCCGTGGTCAACGTGCGTTTAGAGTATTTGGCTGCGATAAATTTCCATTTGATATGCCACTTTTGGTTGAGCTATAATTTGTTTTGTTTATAGTTTAGAAGGAACTACGTGAATAATGAACTGGTGAGAGATGTTACGTGATTGTCGTTCAGGGAATACAGTACAAAGTCACATCCGACCATCGCATGTCCACCCTGATTCTAATGTAACCACCCTCCCGCAGAGCTGCATGTAACTCTCATTTGCCATAGATGTTCACAAATCCAACTTTTTCACATGCAGTCACGTTTCTCAATCTCACATTAATTTGCTCACTTTTAATGTAGAGTGGATAGTTTCCACCATGTTCTAAGTAGTATTTGCCTTATGTTTGTCCAGTAACCTATCTGTGCATGGCGTTCCTCCGATTAGCACGGTTGGCTACGTACGGTGGGAAAGAACAAGTTCAATAACTTAACGCTCACATATCTGACCTCTTCACTTGTCCACCTGCACCTTAGTCCCCAGCCAGTGCTATATGTGACTATGGCACTTGAGTGCGATGGGTGCTCCTTCAAGCTTAGGTGAGCCGGGCGCACACGTTCTGCATTTGTATTGCCGTAAAGTCACCCAAGCGCAGACTCCCAGTGTCACGCGTCCTCCAGAAACCCACTTAATGTCCACCCTCCTCCCGCCCGGTCCTGTTACATTGCGATTAATAGCTAACTTACCCATTACCAAAAAAATGCGGCTGGTGTCTTGCGATTAAAGTGCCTGTTCATCATGCTTGATGGTGCGGGATGTGGGGTTTTTTTTTTACGCAAATACGTTTGGAATGTAACCTCTTCCTGTGTTAACGTAACGTCTATCAACTCAGGCAAACACGAGGCGTAACGTTATAGTTGAACACACACGACATTATATTTGTGTGTGTGTGTTGGCGTGTTTGATACTGGGGAGCGGTGGTGTAGTGGTTAGCGCGCTGCGCTATGAACCCGGCGACCCAGGTTCGATTTCCGCTCACGGCCAATACCACAGTGACGATTATCTGAACCAGTCCTGGGCCTCCCCTAGGTCGACTCAGCCTCAAACGAGTACCTGGTGCTATGTGTAAACATCGCCACTGGGGAGACAAAGGCGGTCGGACGTGGTGCTGGCCACCCACCCCCTCGTGTATCGTTCCGGCCTTCATAGGTGCTCGCTAACAGCACTTGCCCCTACAGTCTTTTAAGGCTATACGGGGGATCTTTGTTTTGTTTGATACTGCACCGAGCTGCGCCTTTACAGAGGAGCTGTCGGCGTGACCTTACCTGCAAGGCTCCCCCCCCCCGTGAGAGTGTGTACACACTGCCTGCTAAAGCCTCCACAGCTGTTATGACAGTTGCTATATGGTGTCGATGGGGCCAGCACACACGCACCCACGTACACGGTTGCTACATTGCTTTTAAAACTACCGCACAGCAGTGGGTGAATGACATTTTTCTTAACAAGTGTCCCTCTATGCATTCCCCTCCAAGCTTTGTCCGCAGTCTGGCGGTGGTATTATTCTCTTGTCCGCAAACGTGCATTGAAATTAAGTTGGCCAAGCATTCCATGGCGTGGAAGTCCTAAATAAGGGATCTAGATATTCAGTGATGCTTTTGTGGATAAACAAATGGAAATAAATCACTCGCACATTAACGATACATTTTTGCAGTGTACTATTATATTTTTTTTCCGTAAAAATCTGATAACTTCCTATGTCATGAGGTTTGACAGTTCGATTTTACAAGTGTGTGTACAGACACAGTACACTACAGTGAACAGGTAATTCCAGTTTATAAATAACTCTGTAAATTATTTTTCATTCATTCATTATCATCTTCAGACGTGAACGATCCACTGCTGGATGAGGGCCTATCCGAGCCGTCCATGTCTCTCAGGAGGTTGTGATGCAATGCCGATTTAATCGCCCCAATGAATTGTGCTCCCGAAGGTCGTCCCTCTATTGGCCTTGCATCGTACAGCTTGATATTCTTCATGGGTGGGTTGTAGTCTACACCAATCCGTTACTTATTCTTACGTATAGTGTGCATTGTTGAGCATGCATTTGATTGTCTATCAAAGAAGAATGGCTGATGTATACAAATGAACGTGGATAAATAAAATAAAGTATAATTCTATACAACGTACAGTTTGTGTTTCGTTTCTAAATAAATCCAAACACAATTGCACGACATCTGTGTAGTTTAATTAAACAAAGAGGTGTAGATGCTGCGTAAAATTCACGTTTAGTTGAAACACACGGTGCTGGTGCAGCTAGAGAGTCGGCTTCATACAGCGTGAGGGCCGCGTGGCTTAAACGCAACCCGTGTCGTATTTGTACAAAATAGAAATATGCCGTAAGGACTGTAATTTAAATAGATCACAATATGGCACCGTGTGTTTTTCGCCCTTAGCTGACAGGATGAAAAGCCACGTTGTGCCCAGGTGCTGGGTGGATTGTTTCATCACAGGATGAAACCGTGATGACAGATTGAGAGATTTAGGAGATCGAATTCCAGCTCTTCCCTCTCATGTGGTAGATTTTGCAAGCGCACCAAAGTTTTAATTACCGAGACACCATGAACGTTATCGTAATTATCTTTTAATCAATGTCCCCTCCTTCGACGTACGAATAGTAAAACTACACGAAACTTCTCTTGAAGCCCTTTCGTGGTTGGCAGGCTTTGACATTGGTATTTAGCTTCTAAACATATTGTAATATGCAATAGAATAATCATTATAAATACTGTACGTTTTCAAATGACCAAATCACATGGAATGTGTCAGATATTGTTAGATCTCAGACGCTAAGCAGGTTTGATTCTGGATAGTGGTTGGATAGGTGACCGCGATGCATAAAACAGGTGTTACAGACTGCTGTATGGGCATTGTGCATATGTGTGTTGAACTTCTTTCGCCACAAATGATAGCTCAACGAAGTGGCTTATTTGGGTATATGTATTTTGAACCGTGCTAATTGGGGGTGCAGTGGAAGGACAACAAATTAAACGCAAAAAACTGTTATAAAGAAATTATTTTTCAATTTAGAAAATTAGTTTTTAATCTGTGTGCGATTTCCTTGCGTTCTCTGGTTTTCTCCTATTTTCAAACTACTCAAATTCAAATGGCATTGGTCAAAATAAAAATCCCAAATGAACGAACCTCATGAAAGAGCCAGTCGGGCTCTCCTGGGTCGATAAAAGCTTTCTTACATCCACTGATGGAACGTCCTCCTCTAGAGGAAGCCATAGAGAGCCCTTCCAGAGCATAATTTTGGCCACTTTTTCTCCCTGGCCAGACGTCTTGGAAGAGGTGAGATAAGTCACACTTTGCCAGCATGTGCGAGTTATCTTATCAACGGCATTGTACCCATTTACACTGTTGGGTGGACAGAGGTAGGGGAATTGAATAAACTGAGTAGATTAAATCACTTTCATATTTCTGCCATTTTTGTAACTATATTATTCGTGTACAATTTGTCTTTAAAAAAAGATGTCTCATTGTAATCCGAAACGGGTTTTAAGTAAACTATTTAATATTATGAATGTTGAAACCCTATTGAAATGTTATTGCAAAAAAACACAAGTATCACTTTTGCTCTGTAGATGTATTTATATGTTCGTGACTGCAATGGTGTCTACAGATGAGCGAAAATGGAGTTAACTTCTCTTAAGTGTGTATAAATGTCCTGTAAAGCTCGAATCTACCATTAGCAGAGTTGTAAAAAGCCCATAAAAACACTTTAACAATCGTCAAATATTTGTTCGCTTTGTGATCTCAAGGTGGAAATGACCATCGGTGTTTACATGGAGGCTGGCTCCTTTATATCGACCGCTAATGCATTGAAACCAAACACTGGGGTTTTTTTTACTGCAGGGAGGGTTTTCCCAACATTAATATTGATTTGATCGATTGATATGCAAATGTTGAGTTACCTTTTTTATTTTACCAGGTAAAGCCCATTGAGCTGCATAGCTCTCTTTTCAGACGGAATCTGATCACAAATGACAGCTTAACGAAGTGGCTTATCATGTGAAAATTAATAGCAGCCAAATGCTCTTAAACGCATGTTTCGTAGAAACCTACCAGAAATTGTACGTTATTTTATTAGACGAGGTTTTAATTATTGGTCAGCTGTTCTGAGATACAGTACAAATAAGCTGATACTGCACTTGCTCTGTATTCTATTCTTGAATGTGATGACAATGTGTTGAGGAGCTAAATGCCAATGTCGAGGTCATCTAGCCATGACAGGGCTTCAGGAGAGGAGAGGTACTCCTCCGTTGAAGTAGTGCAGTGCATTGTGATTGGAAAATGCATTTAACAATGGTAATTCTCTTTACTTATTCAGGTGAGACTCAATCCGCACTCGAATAAATTGAATATTTGGAACAATAACATTGCTCTACTGCCATCTCCTGGCCACATCACAATCTCATGCCTGACACACCTGGTATGTCCCCGGTGTTCTCCCGTCACATAAATAACCAGGCTCGGGTCTTTCTGAGACCTGTTGAAATCGGATGTATACTGGGTTCCTTGGTCGTGTAACTGCGAGGTGTAGCTTAAAACCAGACAATGGCAGAATGCGATGCTGCTGATATGCCTGGCCACAGAATACGTTTCTGTTCTTAGACACAGCTGATTTGTTTGGTGCCATCACACTGTTCTAACCGTGCGATTTTGAACATAAACAAATCAAATGTTCAAAATAATAACAATAATAAAAAAGGCACGCATGAAAAAACCCTATATGCTGTGGATGGAAAAGAACACCTTCGCTATTTACATAAGCACGGCTTTGCAGCTGGGCCGAAAAAAAAAAGCAAAAGGGTGATTTTTTTTAACACGCACACACAAGAGTTGTTGTGTTGGTTCCGCGCGTGAATAGTTAAGGGCACTGAAGCCAGCGGCACGTTAGTGGCCCATTAAAAGGGAGGCCCTGTCGTCATGGTGCCAGGGGGGAAAGGGACTCGAGCAAGGCGGAGCCTCGGGGGTCTTCGGCGATCGCGGAGTCGCCGGCTAAGTCGTCGAGAGGGGGTCAGGTCACCGGTGCCCGTGTGGATAGAAAAACGCCGCCCACCCGATCGCGTTCTGGGGCCAGAGTTTCTGCGGATTTTCTTTTTCACACATGTGTGCCACCGCTTCGTTGCCCTGGGCACACATGTCTCCAGGTTGGTTGCGATCGTGTCACGCGTCGCGCCCACGTGCGCACGTGGGCGACGCGTGTGTGTCTGTCTTGTCTCGCTGTGGGGTCTCTCTGTGCGGCTGCGACTCGGAGGGAGCGAGTGCCGCGTTATTAACTTGCACTGTCATTTTATGTTTTAACGGTCGGTAATATCGAATTTCAGAAACTCAATGTTGCTCGCGTGAATTTGTGCTATCATTGGAGATGATATATAACCAACGTCTAACTTTTAAGAGGTATTAATAACAATGCAATTCAGTTGAAGGTGTAATTCTTGACTTGAAAATTGTATTGTGTCATTTTAAGCCTTCGTTCCTTTGGTGTGCGTAACTGACCATCTGGCGAAGGCTGTGGTGGTCATCGTGTGGACATTCTGATTCACACCATAGGAATGCGGAATTTCCACCACCGGCTAGGGACCACGAACGAAGATGAGCAGGTTTCAGTGTGGCTTTGAAAGTGGAGAAACGGTGACTTTGAAGTCTTCACCGTCGCCGGCTTAACTCTTTATTGCTGAGATGAAGAGTGGGGAAATCCTATCAGCTCGTGGTTTTTAAAACAATTGTGCCTGTATAATTATTCCATTCACATCGTACGTGCCTCTCTCTACTCGTGCGTATGGGTCATTAGAATAACACTACGGGTGATAACTTTTGACACGAATGCTGTTGCACGAGTTTACTACGAAACATAAATAAGGAATTATATTAAGCAGACCAAATTTATCATCATTCTTACAGTTTATATTATTTACTCAAGTGAAAACAATTCAATATACAAAATGGTAAGCATAAACAACTATCGAAGCAATGCATCTAACTCATATGCAGTACGTGCGTCAGTAGATGTGAGCTTATTGAAATGCAATGTATTTTTCCGGAAGAATTGTAAAAATAAAATCTGTAACACTGATATAACAAGTCACGCAAAACATAAAATAGATATACTGTTTATATCCATCACACACTGTTGATGTAACAACAGTGATAGTTTCATCGCAACTCACGGCCACTGGAAACTTAACCAATCTGAATTGCCATGTGTGGACTTTTTTTGAACTGCAATTCGTAGACAATAGTTCCTTACTTTGTCTCTACAACAAACATCTCTTTAGTACCGACGCTCATAGTGGCAAGTGGTATACAAATTACTCTTTGGTTCTTTCGGTAAAGTCACGTAGATGAAAAATAAAAAATAATGAAATAATAAAATGAAAATAACTAAATTAAATCACGACGTTTCGGGCGCAACACAAGCGTCCGTCATCAGGTGGGAAAGCATGGTCTGCTGCTGATGCACCAATTTCAAACCTTTTAAAACAACCTGCATCAGCAGCAGACCATGCTTTCCCACCTGATGACGGACGCTCGTGTTGCGCCCGAAACGTCGTGATTTAATTTAGTTATTTTCATTATTTTTATTTTTCATCTACGTGACTTTACCGAAAGAAACAAAGAGTATGGATCCTTGCAGTCACGAAAACTTCAAATCTAGAATTAGGTATACAAATTCATACATTTGTTAACATTAGTCACCCTTGGAGTGTCCACCACCATCGTGCACAGTCTTAACAACACGGTTTGCAAAGAAAGTCGACGCGCATTGTTGATTACAGAGATCTAGGAGCCAGCTGCTTTGATGGTTATGAGTTTAACATTTTACGTGTGGCAACGAGAACCACTGTCACATCTGATGGCCCTTTTCAACGTAGTTCCCGTACAAAACGTGTGCTCGGCGTTGACATCATTTTCCACGCAGCGGTGTGCATGACGAGAAACTTCATTTGTCTATACGCGAGTCGTCCTGTCAGTCACAGCAGTATTTTGTCGTACATAGGGCTCGTTCTAAACAGGAGGGACGCGTGGACGATTGTATCGATAATCGAATATGTATAAACTTTGACCTGGGTAACAAAATGTGACTGAAAATGTTCATGGACAATCAGTATGTTCTATACTGTCTTCTAATTCCGATATTTTTTTTTGTTCAGTTGCAAGTGTGGAAGAAAAAAAAGATTTAACGTGAACAAAAATCTGATTACTGTGTTGGGTAGTTTTTGCGAAGTCTTGAGGTTGGGTTGGGGGGGGCATAACAAAATAATTGTCCAATTCACTGCTGATTGAAGGCTTCCCCACAACACGTTTGTCATGGTTGTTGTTTGACCAGGCCCTCACTACACTGGTCATTGCAGGTTGATGAAGGGGAGCCAAGGCTGGCTCAGGTGTCGCCGCATCGCGATGTTAAGCCTCGGGCCGGGTATCAAACGTCTTCCGTCACATGGGCTATGAAGAGCAACTCTTCGAGATCCAGTTGTACGTGAATGCACTGCGCCACCATTCCACTTTATTGTAAATCGGGACATTTCCATAGACAAACACTGGTATCGCTGCAATACTCCACACGCAGTTTGCGATTATTGCAAAATACGATTGTTGTGTTGTGGAATAATTAATCGGTGGTTGTCCTGTGGAAAGTCTCTCTGGAATTAACCCTGGCCAGCTTAGTGCCACTAATGGAGATGGGTGATGCCCCAGTGCTCGCATGAACATGGGGACATTATCTTAGCTTGATTGTTGTATAATAGCCGTGAAATAATTACTAAACTATAAACTTTCATTTTACCAGGTAAGGCCCACTTTAGCTATATAGCTATTTTATTGAAGCGATTCGGCCACGAATGACAGCTCAACAAAACGACTTATCGCGTGGAAATTTATTGCGGCCAAATACTCTGAACACATTTCTAGATTTGAAGCTTTCGTGACTGCAAGGATCCATACTCTTTGGTTCTATTCGGTAAAGTCACGTAGGTAAAAAACAAAACAACAAAAATCACGACGTTTCGGCCACAACACAAGTGGCCTTCATCAGGTGAAGGGACCAAACTGTCCAGAGGACAAACTGTCCTTTTTTGTTGTTTTGTTTTTTACCTACGTGACTTTACCGAATAGAACCAAAGAGTGTACTCTGAACGCATGTTTATTCTAAAAATGTGGAGGGAAAAACCCGCAGGATCCAGAGAAAAATCCACGCGACCACGGGGAGAACATGCAAACTCCAAATATGCTGATGTTAGGGTCGAGATCGAATCCACGACTTCCTGTATACCAGGCGAGGTAGTTAACATTTCGCTACCGTGGTAACTGTAATAGAAGGTAAAGGTGCATCCCTTTACTGCTGGTGGAAGGGCCTCTGCTAGAAATAGCTCGAGTGCTGTTCTAGAGGGTATTTTTTGGGTGAACTCTTCCCAAGCTTGCAGAACGCCTTGGAATAGGTGGGAGTAACCCACACTTTATCCTTTACATCATTCTGAAATTTAGTAGAGCACAATTATTACCGCACGGCGCTATTATTATTATTATTACGTAATTAGTGCTCGTTAAGCCTTCTTCGCCGGCTGTCACGCCGCTCTGTTGCACAAGCGGCACTTAGTCTCGCGTGGCTGGGCCGTGCTCGTGGCAAAGTGTTCGCTATTTGGGGTCCGCGTGTGCGCGGTCGAGAGTTCGCCGGGCGATGACAACCCCTGCCCCCCCCCCCCCCCGACTCGTGCACAGACATGGGTAAACAAGCAACGAAAACCATGGGGCACATTTGGAAAATCATTCTGTTATAGGAGGGGGGGGGGGGGGAGTCGCGTATCAGACTCGTTGTGGTACCGAGGTATATGCGGATACGTGGAATTGTCCGATATGCGAACGTCTGTTGAACACCACCGTACGCACAGATCGGTTACTAGACACAAGATTAAAGCGCAGACTCCTTTAAACGTTGCAAGCGTGCTTTACGTATGTTGAACTTCTTTCCCACCGTACGTAGCCAACCGTGTTAATCGGAGGTGCGGGGGCAGGACAACATACTAAACGAAAAAGGCAGTTCTAAAGGAATTAGTTGTTCTAAATAAATGCGCCTGGGAAGTGAGCGAATGTACATGAGATTAAGAAGCACCGTGTGAAAAGCCCGGATTTTGGAATATCGATAGAAAAATTAGTAATATTAGAAAAACATTTTTTAACCACGCTTTAATGAAATGTACCATACTAGTAATGGAAAAACTCCACGACTCCAGGAAGTGGCCCCGAAGTTTGCCATAACGTAAGGGGGCCGTGGCCAATTACAGCCAACGTCAGTTGAGCGTGGACAATTAGACCCAAGCCGAAACATTACATATAAAAATGATTGTTTAAAAATATGTTTTTATTTTTTTTATGATAGAATACAGTATTGTCATCAGTATGACATAAGTATACCAAGTTTGTAGTCGATACCACATTGGGAAGTGGGTTAAAATTGAGTTACAAGATTTGAGGATACAACAACAACAACGACAACAACAACAGACAGCGAGTTAAATGAAAGCGTGTAAAATGGCCGTTCACCTCGTGCGCAAATACTGCACTGGGTGTGTGGGCGGTTACTTGGTCGGGGTGGATATGCGACGAGCTTTTGCTGTATCCTTAATCTTTCTGTTGCGACCACTCACGACGGGTATCTGAAAGTCGGGTCTGTGGGATGCACACGCCGAATATTCATGAGTGACGTTTTGGTTTTCCGCACAGTGGGACTGAACGTGTCAAACATGAAACTAACGCTTGACGTAAAGCTTTTAGTGACCGCAGGAATTCATATTCTTTGGGTCTTTCGGTGAAGTCACGTAGATTGGTTCAAAGAAAACGAACAAAAAACTACCACGTTTCGATCGCAACGCAAGCCGGTCGTCTTCAGGCAAAGGAGTCGGAAGACGACCGCTCGCGTTGCGATCGAAACGTCGTCGATTTTTGCTCTTTTTCTTTGAACCTATCTACGTGACTTCACCGAAAGACCCATAGAATATGAAACTTAAAGCTCTGAAAAAAAAACTCCTCCCATTCCTCTTTGCACTGCCGATGAAACGTGCTTAGGAATGACCACAGGGAATGTCACTTCGGTTTCTTAATATGTATTAAATAATACGTGTAGATGTAACATTATATTCACCCGCAAGCACATTTTTTTTGCCAATGCATAGCATTGCCCGTGCCAATTTTATCCATTTTGCCAGTGTCGCAATGCAGAGTGGCTGAGGTCACCGTGGCTAAAAGCACCAACGTCATGAGTGACAGCGTCTCTCTCTCTCTGGAGTGTTTACCTTCAGAACAATGGAGCTTTTCCACTGAGGTCACTTGGGGGCGAGCATGCATGTGTCGTGTCGCTGCGCGGGACACTCACGACCGACGCTTCGCGTTGCTAATTCTCGATTCAAATATCAGCCGTCCTCGTTTAGAACAAGGACTTTCCAATTGTAGTGCCGATGAAATCGTTTATTTGGAAAGAAATAACGGACAGCGGTCTGCTTTGCCTCGAAAAAAATAACGTATGTCGGTTTAGGGACATTTTGCAACAGTATTTCCAGCAGTATCTGTTTAAGCAAGACAACTCTGGACCCGTTTTGACTTTAAAGTCTCATCAGCTGTGTGGCCAATTAAATGCTGCCGAGTTGCCTGCTATTGGAGGCAAACCCACTCTGTGAACACTTGTTAAGCACATTCAGCACAACACAGCAATGGAAGTTGTACAATTTCCATGGTTATATATTTTGGTCAATGCACCATCTGCGATGGGTTTGACATTCTGAGGTTAATGATTAATGTTGGTCTAGAAGTCTCATTCAGAACCCGATGGTCCTAAATGTTATTTTATCTGTTGGTGAAACGGACATATTTTGTGTCTGTTTGTTGTAAATACCTGCAGTCCAACAAGATTGTGCATAAAAAAAACATGTTGGAAAGTGTTACTGATTAATGTGTTCAGTGTTTTGTGTGTTATTGTTAGCAATGTGGAAGGAGTGACAACTGTTGTAAACATCCTGTTTGGTGGGTGAAGTGTGTGTGGTCTTCTTTGTGTCTCTGTGAAGGCCGTGTCTAAATACTGTGTGTGGCACATTTTATAACATTTTATAATGTGCCACTGTGAATGTTCGTGCGTCCATTTTTAAAATGTAGTTTCTCGCTGGGCAGCCAATATGCTCCCTTTGGGAACATGCAAAAATATTGCAATTCCGAATATGTTTTAAATATACAAGAATTACAACTGAACAAATAGATATCGCATATGCATGCACTCTTGTTTAATGGTATGTGCCCTGGATCAGCTTCATTTACATTTTGCTCATTACCGTTAAGCAACCAACTCCGTTATTATTTATTGTAAATTTTATATATTTAGTAACTGCTGTGAATCTTAATGATGTGTCTCGCGCATTTATTTGTGTGCACGTTTTTCTGCGTGTTTACGTGGGGAGCAGTAGTGCAGCGTTTAGTGCACTCTCGGCCAACACCAGTGACAATTATCTTAACCAGTCTTGGGCCTCCCCTAGGTCGACTCAGCCTCAAATGAGTACCTGGTGTGGTGTGTAAGCATCGCTACTGGGGGAGACAAAGCCGGTCGGGCGTAGTGCTGGTCACCCAGCCCCTCGTGTACCAGAATCAGAATATGTTTTTATGCTCGCTAACGGCGATTGCCCCAACAGTCTGTTATAGGCTATACGGGGGATCTTGGTCTTCGTGTGTTTACGTGAACGCGCATAATTGTACGCTTTGTGTTTTCACATTTCTCTCAACTAAAACAAGTGTAGTGAATCATAACGAGCATGAATGAGTATGTATTCGCATGTTAACAACCACGCTATAGCGCATGCACAACTTTGCACAATTAAATTGGATTAGACCCAACACGGGTGTTCGTCTCAATACCGTAGAGAGGCCACAAACGATGAAATCTCCCCGTGCAAAGCATTGCACGAGCTGCTGCCATGCATGACGTAAAGCAGATATTTATTTTGTTCACTGAAACGACCCCCCCCCCCAGTTGATGTTGGTTTCTCTGTCCGAGCACTGAATGAATTTCACGGATCAGTGGCACTTAAAAGCTCTCAGTATCGAGCGGCGTTGCAACGCTGTCTTGTTGTGGAGGATGCCTCTCGGTAATGCCTGGATAGGTTACGCCAGTTCAGGCTAAGGTCATGGTCAACAATTGCAAACGCTGCACGTAAGGCCTCAAGAAACTTCACGCCGAGGTTGAGATGATGCAATACCGGATTGCTTATGTGCTGTGTTCATTGGCTGTCAGATCACAACGTCACCAACAAACACCGTCGTCTCCACGTGACAAGGTGCTCTGGAGAGTGAGAAACATCCTAGTCGTCTCCCCGGTGTTAACAAAGTTCGACAAATCTCTGCAACACACACAGCAGGTTACGAGACGCACCTCCAACGTCTGCTCTGAATTACGGGGAGGGGTAAAAGTGCGTCTTTTTATTTAGAAAATATGACAAATCACTTGATTTAGAGATAGATAAACCGAGTTCATTACTAAACTATGTGAAAGCCCATCGTGTATATATTGCTAGGGATACATTGGGCAAATGCAAGCACCATAATTCGTCATTTAATTTTAATTGTACGTCGAGACGCTGCTCACAATAATATCTGATTTTTTTTAGTTTTAAGGTATAAACAGTAAACGTGAATACACTATAATAAAAAAGGCAATATGGAGAAAGTCAGCTGTAATTAAATCGATGTGGTTCAGGAAGCATGTTAATTTACCGACTGAATCAAAATGCAATGCTAGATGTCGCAAACGGCTTTGTTGTAAATTTCTAAGTTCGGGTAACTGTGTGTTATCATAAAAAAATAACATTTTGGGAAGGTCTCAGGTCACTTGATTTCATTGTCCTGTAAACTTAGAGTTCCATCCAAAGAACATATATATTTTTTTTACGTGTAAACGTCAGCAGGCAGACAACACACAGATGCACACGGTTAAAAAAAAATCAACATTAACATAAAACCACGGGTGGGTAGTTGCTGGGCACGAATCCCAACTGGACGAGACGCTATTGTCCACCGTATTCTTTATATTTTCGCTCACGCTCGTGAAGGCTGACACGCGGCTAAACCAGTCGTTCTCTTTTGACATTCGCCGCACCACCGTTATCTCACTCCTCTGCGATTGGCACTGACCTTGCAAGCCCGCTCGCCACCTTTCTCTCCCCTTTGGTTATCCTCTGCTTTCAACCTGGGCCCTCCCATCACTCCGGGATTACAAATGCCAGCATCCTGGCCGTCGTCCCGGTGTGCGCGCGCACACACACACACACACACGCGCGCACACACAATCATCTGTCGGTCGTTGTGTTACGCAACCCGGTGCATTGCTGGGTCAGGCATCGTGGGCACCCGTGCAGCTGCAGCGCAGTGGCCACCACCTACGCTCCCAAGTAGTCGATGCGGTTGGACGACGTGATAAGCATCGTTTTGATCTTGCTGTTGTGTTTGGTTTTTTTTTAGCGGTGAGGATGCCGGTTCAGAGGGGGCCGGTGTCCGGGGCTGAAGGGACGGTCCCTCACACGCGCATCGCCGATGAAAACGCAGTGCAGGTAAAACAGCAACGAGCGGGGCAGGATGTTGACAAAGGGGTAAAAGAAAATTAATGGTGCCACTTTCTGCTATAGTGTGCACAAGCAGGCGGCGAATGTGCTTGAAGGCATTGTTGGATTTGATTCGATAGTCTAAGGTCAGAATTGTTTCCCTGAATCAAATTACCATTTTGGGTGGTGTTCCTCTGCATTGGTGGCTGCACACCATGGTGTAAATTCCACGTTATCGTGGCAGGGGTCAGGGTAAACATAGGGTGACTTCTGTTGACATCCCACATCGGTTCTCATTTTATCGACTCTGGGGGGATTGTGGAACATGTACATTTCTAAACCGGCAAATGAGCTCACAATCTTCCCACTGCAAGTCATACACTCTCAGAGCTCAACGTCGATTGCAATCAGCAAAACTGTCCTGAGTGTATTATCATTTAATTTACATGCTACAGTTTACATTTAATATGTGGACACAAACGGCGAACACTCGGGTAGATTCCATGGAAATGCACACACTTTTGTATGGCACACAAATACGTAGGTAAATGTATATATTTGCAGCCCTTTGTCAATCCACTGCTGGATGGAGCCCTCATGCTATGTTGGTCATGGGGTTTATTTGAATTAACAATATTGGTTGTCTGCGTGGGTTGATGACGAAGGTGGGAGACCAGGACACGTTCAGACATGGATCACCACTGATGTTCGTGCAATGAGCGAACATCTGTGCCACCGCTGCACTGTGTAAATACTTACGTAGATTGTGTAAGTAAATGCGTAGATACACATATGTAATTTAAAGGGGACCGACGAACCGACTGCCAAAGACTACAATACAGTACGGTTCTCAGCACAATACATACAGCAAGTACTTTTTTGTTTATTGGTTCAGAAAGCTAAACACACACACACATACATTTAATACGTATGAACAGAAACACGGGGTGTTTAGTTTTTTGTTACATTTGCATTTTATTATCTGCGAGCCGGACCATGGCTCCCTCTATTTGTCTAGCTGATGTTTTAACTGTAGACTTGCAACTGAAAATGATCATTGGCACACCACGGGAATGGATAAAATGAATATAAAAGGGAAGAGAGCACATAAAGAATGGGAAATGAGAGGAAAATAATGGAGAAGGAATTGAGAAAATGGGAGCAAAGGGTCAGGAGAGATGAGGATTGGGAGTAAGAGGCTGCAGGGCCTTTGCTGCCGCTGCTGCTGCACGGAGCAGAGTCTGTTTTCACAATGGGCGGTGGGGAAAGGGGAGGGATTCAGAGTGGGGCTGGACACACAGAAGTAACATCATTTATGGGAGGCTTGAGCTGGTTTACGTATATTTATGTACGTATGCTGAACTTCTTTCGCACTCTACGTAGCCAACCGTGCCAATCGGAGGTGCTGGCGAAGGACAACAAACTAAACACAACAAGCAGTTGTAAAGAAATTAGTTTTTTTTAAATGTTTATTTGCCTGATTGTATAATCCTTGTTGATGTTTGCATAATTAAAAAAACCCCTATACATTGAATCACTGAGGGTACAGTGCATTCTTCCACTATCTATTTTATTTTACTACCAGAAACGAAGAAAATAATCTTAACATTTTAGTCAATATTACCTTACAACATATATATGTACATGTATATGTTTAACTTATGGGGCGCACATTTTAAATGTATATTTTCGCAATCGAAAGGCTTTATAGATTGCTCTATTTCATGAAAAATAGAAAACGTTAATTGTAATTTAATCAGCACAATGCGATTGTATTATTTAATTCATGTCCCGTCGTGTTCATGTAACAAGCAATGCATACTCAGCATATTCTTAAAGGGGCATTATTTATTTAATTTGATTTGAAAAATCGCTATCAGTTTTTGCCCTTTGCTATCACGTGCAAGTACAATTACAAATATTGAACAGGTCACCTCCCTATTGACTGTTGTTTGCATTGATTTGTAATCTATGCAAATTTTACATTCGGACTAAGGGAGTGAACAAAACTACAAACAACTCAGAAAAATAAACAAAGGCAGAGCTATGAAAAAGCTGCGACAGAAGCTGTATTTATTAAATATCTTTTAACTGGATCAACATCGAACATAATAGCTTCATTTTCAGATTTAACTTACAATTGTTTAAATAATTTAACAGTGTTTAAGGTATAGCATCTTAAGACTGCATTGAAATTACATGATATTAATTTTATTTGTCTTTGTTCAAAAATCATGGAATGCAAGTCACTGCAAACAGGCCAACCGTTTGTGTACTCTGATGTACTGTGCTGCATCTACCACAGCGAATGTTAGTCCGCTGATGTGCCATACAAAGACATTCGAACTCAAAGTGAAAAGAGATATGTGGCTGCTTTGAAATGTACTACTTTAATGAGCGAAGAATGTCTGTGTCCCGCGTGTGACGTCATTCCACGTCGACCAGCCCCCCTAATTAATCATCATAAACAGGTTACGTCCTCCACATGGAGCACCCCCCCCCGCCATTAATAATCATGAGCGGGTGACGTCACTCCACATGGGGAACCCCCCCCCTCATTAATAATCATGAACAGGTGACGTCACTCCACATGGGGGGCCGAGGCGCCTCCTCCCCCCTCCTCGGCGTCAACTCACAACCTTCACTAGAAAGGCAGAACCTTCACGTCATCACGTGATCTCCGTAACGCTGTTGTTGAGACATCGAAGTAAAAATCACGTCGTGATGAACAAGGGATTATAACCTTTAAATGAAATAAGTCTGTGTCACCGCGGCCTTACAAACTGCACACGAATTGATGCAATGAATATATCACGTCGCGGTCTGATTTTTGCTTGCAAGTTTCAGATTTACTGCAATACACCCGTTCCTGGACGGGCAAAAGGCTAGTTTAAAATACTCTTCCATGTGCTGTGTATAAGTCCATTTCAATCTGATATTTCAACAATCCTGTTGCAAACGGCTGATAAAGTTTTGGATTATTTAATGGTCTTGTGGTACGTTTTGAAAATGAAGAAGTGCTGCAGGGATACTCTAAGGAATAAGTCGAGGTTGTAAAATGTCTTTGTGATGCTTTTGGAAATTGAAAATAATTACCAGCACCCTGTCCTGTGGGACTATCTCCCACCACTCCCAGGCACATTCGGATGTTTATGTATGACTCCATTTCTTAAAGAAGAGATGTGTTTGAAGAATATTTGTTTTAATGGGAAATAATATCATTGCTTTTCAAAAAGCAAACCTGAGCACACTTTACTATTTACTTTTGGAGGGTTTTTTTTCAATGCCAAAAGCCAAAAGCTCCGCTGGGAAAATGAGGCAACGCTCGTTTTGGCTGGTGGCCCTGGACCAGTGGTGAAAATTCCACATTGCCACGATTGAGGCAAAGTCTGTCAATAGGATGGCTGCTTGTATGAGGGCGCCACGGTGGTGAGATGTTAACTACCTCGCCTGGTATACAGGAGGGCGTGGGTTCGACCCCGATCCTGACGCCTGCTGCTGTATATTTGGAGTTTGCATGGTGGCGAGATGTTAACTACCTCGCCTGGTATACAGGAGGGCGTGGGTTCGACCCCGATCCTGACGCCTGCTGCTGCTGTATATTTGGAGTTTGCATGGTGGCGAGATGTTAACTACCTCGCCTGGTATACAGGAGGGCGTGGGTTCGACCCCGATCCTGACGCCTGTTGCTGCTGTATATTTGGAGTTTGCATGGTGGCGAGATGTTAACTACCTCGCCTGGTATACAGGAGGGCGTGGGTTCGACCCCGATCCTGACGCCTGTTGCTGCTGTATATTTGGAGTTTGCGTGTTATCACCATGGTCGTGTGGATTTTTCTCTGGGTCCTCCGGTTTTTCCCCCTCCACATTTAGAGTATTTGGCTGCTATACATTTCCACATGACGATAAGCCACTACGTTGAGCTATATAGAAAAAAGAGCTATATAGCTCAGTTGGCCTTGCCCGGTAAAATAAAAAAATAGTTTTAGTTTTATGTTTTAAAGAGTTCATAAAGTGAGGAAAGGGTTAAGCGAATGCGTGTGTGCGTGTGGAAGAGCGGGGTTATCGGGGGGCGCGGTGCTAAAAGATCAGACGATTAATGTGAATAAAGGATAAAAGCAACATTGACCTTGGAGAGAAAAGAAAATCCTTTAAAGAAAAAAAAAGGGGGTGGGGTGGGTTGGGGGGGGTCGGTGTGCAGCCGCCGTTGCTGGGATGGTTCTGCGTGACGGGGTTTTGAGTGTGAAGTGTGGAGCGTCAAGTGGCTCCGGCCCCCGGGCCGGCTCTGTATATACACCTGCCCCGGTTTGCACACCAGCGCGGGAGAGAGAACGGGCAAGGCCCTCCTCCTCCTCCTCTTACGGGCCAGCCGGCGGGCTGAGAGAAAGCTTCTGCACAAAGCCGCATTCCAGCTCGTCCCCTCCAGTGGCCCTCCCTCAAATCCCACCGGACGGGCGGCCTCTCCCTCCGCGGGGTTTTGTCTCCTCCTTACCGCCCCCCCACACAGTCCACCCACCCAGCCCGCCCGCCAGTCCGCCCGTCCGTCTGCCCGCGCTTCTCGAGTGCTGCTTCGGCTTCTCTGTTCGTAAAAAAAAAGAGAAAAGGCAACTAGAAAAAAAAACATTTTGGTTGGAAGGAAAGAAGAAGAAGAAGAAAAGAGGGGAGCTGAAGAAAGAAAACACACCTTTGTCAACACTTGTGTGTGTGTGTGTGCGTGTGTGTGTGTGCGCGTGTGTGTGTGTGCGTGCGTGTGTGCGTGCGTGCGTGCGCGTGCACACTGGAGCGTAGTGCAAATGTTGGCCTTAAATGCTCTCTCCCGGCCACCCCTATTTGCTGCTGTTAGAATCCTTAATGATTTTACCTCCTTGCTGCTGAATTGGCAGCGCAAACAACGTGCAGTCGCCTAACAGCAGCAATGTCACGCATGCGAGCTCCTTGCCCGCCCGCTGCTTACTAACAGCAAAACAATTGCCGGCGTGAATGGGTTCTGTTCGACGCGTAGGCTTTTA